GGCGAACGGGAGGTGTGAATTTAGGGTATGAAAGGGGCATGGCGGAAGGAGATTCCGGCGAAGAGCTGGGAGATATATCTCCTCCAGAAGGTGAGTCGAAGGGCGAGATCGTCGTGGTGGGGGAGGATTCGGTGGAGGTCGAGGTCATCGACGAGATGCTCTCGCGATGGGGGTTGGGAGATGGTAGCAGGCGCCGAGTCGATGAAGTGTTCACAGGAATATGGGCCGGGACCTGAAGAGGATGGATCACGTTCTCTTCCTCTTTGTATCGCTGCGGTAGGCCACCATAAACGGACATGAACGACGGGAAGGAGTCCGGGAAGGACGCTTGACTGGTTTGTACCGGCATGGTTCGGCGTCTGTAGTGGTGGGTGGAAAGGAAGAACCCTCTCAAGCCCACCGCGGTATTTCACAGGACGTAAGGGCAGCCAGGTTATAGAGGCATTCGTTTTGACCAGGGTGTGGAAAGGCAAAGTGTGATGTTTGCTACCGGCGCAAATGTGGTCGACGGGTCTTTTCAAAGTGATGTCAGCTATGCTTCGAAGATGATCCAGGTGGCAAGCAGCAAGCAGCAAGGGTTGGAATCATGATCGGCCACCATGCAACGCCGGTAGTAAATATGCCCAGGCACGAGTTCTATTGCCCAAGAAGACTACATGCCTCTTCTTTTTCCTTTGTAACGATGTATTTGGTGTGATGGAGGTTGACGGGGAAATTCCACTGGGTCACAAAACGTACCTATATTAAGAGTTGGTCCGAGTGGCTGTTGCGCAACAGTATGGACAAAGGGCGTGGACCGAAGGGATCGAAGGAGTGACGATACCACCGAGCAAAGGTGTTTTTTTAGAAAAGAGAGGGAGAGGGAGGAGGGAGAGTCCGAGCAAGAAAGGGAAAGGCGGTTGAATTGGAGAGAATGCCGGGTAGGGCCTCAATGGGTGGGTGGTAGTTCCTCCGGGGAACAGGAATGTGGAAAAGGGAAGGGAAGGGAAAGGAAGAAAGAGATCAAGATGATGAAACCTCCCACAGTTAAGGAGGGAAGGGAGAGAAAACAAGGCCAAACAGTGGAATAGAAAGGTAAAAAAGGTGTGAAGTTGATGGAGGGGGGGGGGAAGTTTTGGGGAGGTTTACAGGACCCTTACTGCCAATGGTTTATTTAGATTCGGTGTTAGAGATCTCGATTGCCCCCACTGTAATTTGCCAGTACCGTATGGTACGGTGCGGAGGAGGAACAACTGAGGGAGCTGAGGAGTTTGGCCCGTATTCGGTATCCATACGAGTGGTACGCAGTGGTATGGAGAGGTATGGAGAGAGTGCCTTCATCTGTCGTACATCTCTGTGTACTGTATCTCTCTATAACCAATCACAACTTGCAGCTCTAATTTTAGCCGCCCTTGGGAAAAACAGCTTCGGCGCCAAATGCACGCAACTGAGAGGCCCATGCCGTTTGTTCCCGCAGATTCACACTCCTTTCCCCTCGTTACCTGGCATCTTGGTTGGTCTGCTCATCGGAGTATCCAGTCTCTCCCTACCTCCACTCAACCTATGGTGTGCGAGTTGGATTATTCTCGAAAAGAAAAGAAAAAAAAAAGCCCGGTCCCACTTCCCACATCGCTGCCCCCGTCCCACTTTCTCTACAAAGTACAGCTGAGCATCGGGGACCATTTCGCGTCCCTTCCATCCTCCAGTACGGAGTAATTGTACACCCTAGGGCACGCGATGAAATTGGATGGGGCTGTGTGATTGGAAGGTTCCATTTAAGGACCTGGCTCCATCGTCGGTGGGGATAAGACAAGGAGGCTGGTCGAATGTGAGTGCCCAGAGGTGACACCGATCCACCCACTCGAGAAACTTCCAAGACGAAGGAGTAGAGGATGAAAGACGGGATGTGTGGGGGGGGGGGGAAGAAGGCTGCGTGTTGGCCAAGGCGATTCTGGGAATTCCAAATTCGGACCTATCCGACCCGTCTGAATGTATTAATGTGTTCAAAGAGCGTGCACGGTTCCCTGTTCCTCCGTATGTAACTACTATACGGAGTTCAACCAGACGGGATCAAGGAGTCAACACGGGTGAACGGTGGGCTACCCAGCCAGGCTGGTTCCGGTCTGATCCATGGAACTGTCTACCTCCCGAATCAATAGAATCTTACCTTACCCATCTTACCACATCATACGGAGTATGGAGTACGGAATACAGATCCCAGAGTATGTATACCTTGTAGGAACACTACCTCCGCTACTCCGTACTCCATACAAGCTGAATCAATCATTGCCACTGCAGTCTTTCGGTGAAAGCCATATCCGACTCCATTCTGAAACCCCGAGGCAATGGATCTGGGTTGGTGACTCTGAAACACACCAAACCCGCACTAGCAGACGCTAGTGGCCCCCCTGGGCGGAGTGTGGCCGCAGCCTATCATCGATACTTGGCTGCTTGCAGGCGATCACCTCCCATTACGGCTCGGCACTACGACGAATCTTTCTCATTCCTGCGCTACAATGGAGCTACTTGTGAGGTCATGTTGCGAATATCTTCACCCACACCACACGGTCCATCAACCCCATCCAAATACTGGACCTGTTATCAGTCAAAAGGGGAGTTGTGATCGCCTGTGGGAACCGAAATGATCGGCCTCTTTTCCACGTGGTAACCCGCCATCCTGAAACTTGGTGGAGAGGCAAAGTAAGGCATCAGCAAGTAGTGCCAGTGCCACTCGCTGCTATCATATGAAAGTGTTCAGGGTGAAAGTATGGTACGGTACGGAGTATAGAGTACAGGGTTGGTACAGTACAGTTTAGTTGGCTTATATGATACTCCGTCCTTACTCTACTCCGTATACATTGTAGAACTAGTTAATTATCCAGACACACTATTGTGTTAATGTGCAATGCCACCGTGTTTTCCTCTAGACATCCGCTACCAACACTACAGTACGGAGTACATACGGAGTACCCCGTATCTTATTCTTCGATGTCCAAGCCTACACAATACTCCACCGGCGTTGCATGTTCCAAATAGATTGCCCATACCTGGTCGCGGATCCAGATCCCTCGTGAAATCGAAACGTTTCACCATGAACCTTCTAAAAATAAAGATCTCCTGAACCAAAGGTCACTGCGCGCAGCCAGCTGACGTTGGTTCGTTTCGCGTCTCGCTTGTTTCGCCTCTGTTTCGGGCCCCTTTGCCACAGTTTCTCCTGGGGCGGTTACTGTGACGGAGGATCCCCTTGATGCCTGTTTCATCCGTTCATTGGTGGACAATGTCCTCTCTTGCTGACGCCAGTCTGGAGTCGAATCATGTAAATGCATCCTTGCTCTGCGTTCACTGGCCAACGACGACATGAGACGGCCGACAATCAAGCCTGGAGCTCGCTAACGAATCGCGGTGTGTCATGTATATACAATTTTGACTATGAAGTACTATGACTGCTACCAATTCTGCAACAATCAAGGAATCACATCCCAATTCCGACCGAGGTTCAACCAGCCTATGCTTGGATACCAGATCCTCATCAGACGAGACATCGCCAATACAGTTACCATGGTACCCTTGAGAATCAACACTGATGGCGGGGTCGTTCTCGGATGATCCATGTCAACCTTGGAAGGGGAAAGACTCCAAGTTGATTCATGTTAGAGCTGCCTTTCAATCTTGTTGGGTCACAGTGTTCGTTCTATTCGTATTCGGCATTATCATATAACTAGTACTAGTAGGTACTATTTATGACTATTCATGCGTGTCATAGTGAGCCTATTATTCTATTGCTTTCAGTGTACTAATGGGACACTGGTTACTAGTATCCATACTATCGCTAGTATATCGTACATTGGACAGAAAAATCACTTGTGAAACACTTCCTGTACTCACTCCTCGCTAGCCTTTACCAGGACATGTCATTGATACTAGCATCCCCGGAACCCCATACTCTCTAGCACTAAAACTGACACGGCACTGACACTCGCCACGTGGAAAGCTCATCCACAGCAAAATAAAACCACAGACTAAATATTACCCGACACTACCGGACAGTAGATGAAGATATCCACTGTATTCCATACATCTAGCGAGTTACTGGCCGGCGGTGGCACACTCGGCTCCGAATCCACGGTTCCGCAGCGCGAAACCGTGGTTCCCTTATTTGTTTGATGCTTCAACAGCTTGACTTGAAACAACTTGAAGCTCAACAAAAAAAGCTTTACGGTACACTTCCGATATGTTTAATTCTGACCTCTCCGTACAATGAAACCATGTTAACTGTACGGAGCACGCGGTAGGCACCAGTGCGTTGTGAAAAGCCACTCGTAAAAATACGGCAAGGATATGAGCAGGTCGCCGGCTTCAGTGCGTACCCATGTAGCTTGGCGCTCTAAATGGCCAAGAGAATCCACTTATTGCGCTCTACTCCGTAACTGTGATAGAGTTGGAGCAAGCCTTTGGAGCAGGTCGCTCGTGTTGGTGTATGCAGTTGGCGTATAGACGGCCCAGTGCATGAAAGACCCAACTGAGCCGGTTCCGGCCCTCATCAAAATTCTCCCAGCCTCTTTTCTGCCCCGGTCCACATTTATGTTTAAATTATTTCTTTGTTTTCGCCTATCATAGTCGATATTAGGGTTCGTGTCCCGTACATACTCTCTCGGCTGTCTTTATTTGCTTTCCCTACCCAATGACCAGCGCGCCACTGTCCCTCTGGAGTTTTTCCGAGTGTCTCACGATGGCACCCGTACCGTATTGTATTCCAAATCTACAACATATCACTTGGCCCAGATTAAGCGTGGCAGATCGCCAATGGTGTGTATGTCTCAGTGGATATGTATAGTTCTTTCAGATGGACAGCAAAACTACCGTATATCTCCAAGCTGGGCGAACGTACGACATATTCGCCGTTTGAATTTAGAGCCTTGGATACTATTGATGCATTCGTTATTTTTAAAAAATTGGTGATCATTTAGGCATAATTCGTGGTGTCTCTTCTTTAGTCTTCAGCCCATGGGGGACGGTGGCGATCAAGGACCCAGGGGGACATATCCGTAAACCCTTGTCCACATGTTGCTGGCTCGATCGTATTCGTTCCACGAGTATTGCATAAAAGGTTGCTCATCGTTTCTTTTCCACACAGCAATGTCTTTCTCCGTTGCTTCGGGAGGGTAGCCGTCTCGTGGCCGAAAAACACCATGCGGGCGAATACGTGCCACCTGTGGAATGACTAGGCTTCGTGCTCTGATGTCCACCTCCGATGGCGGAGGAGACAGACTTGCAGTAAGTGTCGAGTTGAGGATACTGAGCTGGCCACTGATTATACTTGGAGCTATGCTCATTTCAATTGCTTGGCGTTCCTCCATCATCATGATTGTCTCAGCAAGAGCGGCGCCCTCATCCCGCTTGTAAAGACCATATAAACGATGCGTTCGACGGAGTAGGGCCAAAGCTGTTCGCCGGACCGTCGGCTCGCGACATCTAAGACATGTGAACCAGAGTGGTAGACCAACGCCCACCTCAAAGGTAAACGGCGGCAGTGTGCCGTCTTGTCTTGCAAGACTGTTCACCGCAACGGCGCCTTGTTCCACTATGTTTTGAAAGTTGTGGAAACAAGCGTCTGTTGTGATTCGTGATGATGACACGCACACTGTCAACATGACAGACAGCATCTCATAGTAGGTGAAGAGAAGAGCGCCGGTTCCAATCTGCGACGGAGATAAGCCGGGCTCCATAAATTTTGTAAAAGCTAGATGCCAACTCTGGAGTTTGGCTGATAGGACTCGCTGCCGATGCATCATCTCTTCTGGTATATGCCAAGCGTGAAACTTTTTGAGGTAATCTTCGCACCTGCTTTCGAAGAGTGGGATTTCTGTAGCTAGGATGACGATGGCATCGCGAGCGGACCTCAAAGAGCCGAATTCCTGCTTCGTTGCAAACTCATCCCCAAACTCGTCAACTAACGTACTCGCCAAAGCCCAAACGCTGTGTAGAGAGACTGCCCCTAATCGGACAAAAAGGGGAATGATGGTCTCTTTGAGAAGAAATAGCTTTGCTGGTGCCACGGTACCGCACTGGCTCTGGGCATGTAAGGTATGGATCAGATGTATACCCTGTCCATAGAGACGCAACGCCTCCTCGGCACCTCCCAGAAGGGTTTCTATGCAGATGAATAGAACACAAGTAATTAATCCAACAAAGGAGTCTGCGCTGCCTCTTTCAATACTTCGTCGAACGGTGGTTACCGCACGGGAATACCAATCTAACGCATCTTGGTGTTTTTGGCCGAGGTAATGGGGTTGGTTGCCGCGACGTAGAGATGTCAGATCGGGGCAGGGATCAGGGCATTCAAACAATGAGCTAATGGAGATCATAGCATCCCATATAGCTGATTCACTGCGACAGGCCTGTGGAACAATAATGCGCCAGAATTCCACATCCAACCCACCACCGATGGACTCTGCGGCATGCTGATAATAATAGGCAAAGGCACGACGCTCCCGCGATCCTTTATCTGGCGACATGGAAAGCGAGCTGGGCAAGGGAGGGGCAGTAAATGGTGAAGAATATTTGCTGGTAATCCCGATTTGATAGTCGCACTTGCGACCTGTACTCGTACATCGGAGACACTCAGGCTTTTCTTCGCCGCATTTGACCCTTCGAATTCTGGAGGAAATGGTTAACAATAGTCCTTAGATTATCACAGGGTAATTTATGAGCTTACTTGCATGTCTTGCATCCAAGCTTTGATCGGAGAGATTTGAAAGAGACCTCCTTTAAGTGGGCTGACGGGCTTACTGACATGTCGCCGGCATAGCCTAGGTACTGAGAGTGTGAGGGATGGTATAGCCTTGTAGGTAAAGAGTCGACACAATGCTGAAAATGAGAGAATGACCGGGTTCTCTTCCGATGCAGTCAAGTTCCTTGAGTATACCAAGAGACCACCAGCCTGTCATCTCATATGATCTGCTGCCACGCTATCTACGTAAAATACAGTTTGGATGAGATACCGGAATATCGATATTCCCGATAGACCCGTTTTATGGACCCAATTGGGACTAGCGGGGCTTGGTATGATATTTCGAGAAACAATCGAAGAACTAGTGACTGACCATGACGATGAAAATGATCACTCAGTCAATCCCCCAATGCTGGGTCTAGTTCTGCATATCTGAGACCATCTGGATGGACCCTGAGCCTCCATTGTGTGAGCATCTAGACCCCGCTCATAACCGTCGCTACCATGTTGACTAGAATACCCACTCCACAACCACAACGGAAACGGTAACGACAACGACAACTAGACTGGACAGGTCAGATATTCTTAATCGGCCTCGTGCAGCATGTTCGATAGATCGCCTGTCTAGTTTGCATTTGAAAGTCTGCACATCTGCGAACTTGCGACGAGGGGTGATCGGACATGCATAAATAGTGCCATCGGGGGGAGTGATGAAATCAGCGGTGACCTGTGGAAACGAGCAAAATCATACATAACAGCGCCATTTGAACTACCTAAACGTAAAGAAACTAGCGAATTTGCATCCGCAGAGTACTCGGTCAAAAAGTGAACTTATCAACTGCCTTTGCAGCCCCACAAGGCCAGTTGTGAAACGCCCCGGCCTTGACAACTCTGGCACACACTAAGATTGCGCTGGGCCCCGATCCTCCTCCACTTACAGTAGCTTCTCTTCTCCCCCAGCCTCACCTCACAGCTTCCTTCGCATTTCAAGTTTCCCTTTCCCCCGATCTCTCCTATGCCGTTGAGCCTTACCTCATGTGAAACACTGCACCATGCCATCCAGCGTCGCTTACTCCGAAACAAGGACCCTGGCGAAAGATCATAATGCTCGCGCCCTGAACGGCTCTTATCGACTGGGCCGGGAACCGTTGGAAATGCCTTCGCGCCCAGATGAAGCTCGCAAAAATGAGGATATCTTCTTGAACATCGCTAGAACCGACTCAGACCGCCGTGATTCATTGGGTCGCTCGGATTTTCGCCGGGTAAGTCCCCCTTCCATCTACATCTGAGCCCTGGTTCGCGTTGCTGTTGCTGTTGTTGTCGGTCGTCATATCGATCCAAGCATTTCCTCGGGATAAAGTGACCATGAAGCTCACAGAGTGCCGCCTACTAGTCACGACTGGGCTATTCAAGCCAATCTCTTCGGGCGCCAACCACGCGATTTGACAGCGAGCAAACCCCCTCTCCCGATCAGCGCCTCAGCAATGCGGAGAGCCCCTTGCTTGCGCAGAATGAATCCCCAACGCTCGCCTACAGCTCTTTCCATACGCCAACAGCCTCCTCTCACCCTCTCGACGATCAAAATCGCTTCCGCTATTCAAGTTTAGGATCTGGTGCCCGATCAACCATTGGCGCGCCACGAAGCCGACTCAGTCGCACCAGTCCAGAGGCCTCTCCCCATTCAGCCTCAGTCAACGGGGAGCGCCGGTCTTCCTTCCATGACCCGCGTCTACAACGCCATTCAACGCTTTCAACAGTTCGAAGCAGCCGGCAGCCATCGACCTCTGAGGCGACGGAGAGAAATCGCGGCGAGGCTGAAAAATCGCGCGCGGATGGTACCGAGTCAACGTTATCTACAAACGCGCCTTCTACCGTCTGGGACGAACTTGATGATCTCAAGTCCCGAATTCGCAAGCTGGAGCTCACTGGGAAACTCCCCCCATCATCGCAAGCTGCGATCTCTGGAACATCGAATGAAAGACCCCGAACCGCCGCCACAACCGTGACTGCAATCTCAACTTCGCCCAGACAACAGCGTAAAGCCAGTACATCCGCTGCAGACGCTGAAAGTGCTGTCTATGATCAGGTGCATCCACTGTTGCAATCCGCATTGACCAAGGCCAAGTCGGTCCTAGGTAGTGACGTGTATTCGGCACTAGATGCGACGATCGCAGATGCGTTAAAGATCTCAACTTTATTGGGCGCCAATACAGCCCCGTCGGGCACTATGTCTGCGGTAAATGGAGGATATACTTCGCCAGAAAGACAAGCCCGACGCAAAGCCGACAGCGTGTGTCGTAGCTTGACCGAGCTGTGTCTGGCGTTGACGGATGAGCAACTCAAGAAAACTCGACCATCTTCCAGCCACGCCAGCACTGCGCAGCCTCAACGATCCAATGGTGGGGAGAACGAGTCGCTTGCCCCGAGCTCCTCCTATCAGCGAACGATCAATCACGAACCCGAAAATGTCGAGCGGCGACAAAGTACTAGCCGCATTTCTAGTCGTCTCGAAGCGCGAAGAGCATCTCTCATCAATCACAGCCCTAGTAATCCCGCCGAATCCAAATCCCCCAAGTCACCCAGCGTCGCCCCTCCGCCAAGTCGCCTCCACCGCGCCTCTACTACTCTTCGTAACCGCAGGTTAACTTTCGACGACGAAAATGGAGAAATTCCTAGTCCGCATAGCCGCTCACTTTCCCGAGCTGTGACTGAAATCGGCACGCCCAGCCCGGCCCAGAATGTGTCTCCACGGCAGCGATTTTCTTATAGCCACTCGCGCTCCGTCTCAAACGCTCCCCAAGACCAGAGTCTGGGAATATCTCCCCGGTCTACACAATTTCAGGCGCCGGCGCTTTCTCAGGGCCCTCCAACACCTCAAGCTTTACCCCCCACAGTCACCACGGACGCCTACTGTCTCCTCGCAGACCGGGATACCGGCTCGTCGTAGCTACATGACACCTGGCGTTTATTCTCCCGCTGCACCCCGCTCCAATATCCAAGCCGGATCACGCCGATACGGCCTGTCCACAAGCTTCTCAAACTCCACGCCGCGCGCCGGGACCGAAGAAAGCCCCCGCTCGCCCCAGGTAGAGTCCCCGCAAACTCGAATCGGCATTCCATCGAGTAAAATGGCAACCAGTTATACACCTATTCAACAACAACGACTCCGCACCAACAGCCTAGGTACGCGGAGATTTGGTCTCAGAACCCGCTCTTCTACTGCACCTGATGAACCTGCCAATATCGATGACAGTATCGACTAAATTTATGCCACTCACCACACACTCTGTTGACGCACCATTATGCATGCCTACCGACCACCAAAATTCGGCTACGCCTCTTTGTTATTCATTCAACGTAGCGCCACCGCATCTGACCATGTTTCACCTCGAATATTTCGAAACAACACACTTGGCGTTTTTATTTTATCCTAGACGCTTGCGTTTGCATTGCGTACGCATACTGAATGGATCCGGAGTCTTTCATCGCATTGTCCAAGACAACTGAACTTTTTGACACCTTTGGTGCATCATGACAAATACACTGCCGGCGTCTTTCATCCGAAATGTCTCAAAATGAATTATGAAATGCCACTTACCTCGCAGAGACGCACCCCCAAGTCCCTTTGTATCGACATTGTCTCCTTTTTTTCACCCTTTGTTTCATTTTGTGCAAATTTTCTTCTCCCTGGGGACGGGGACTCCTGCCGAATCATTGGTCTTCAGCACCATTGGATACATGTACAAAATCGACCATCACGCCCGGCGCTCATGTTCAATACTTTTTCTCTCTTCGTGTACATTTCACAGCTGTCTCTTTTGTGTTATATCCACCTAGTTTTGTCGAACGATCTTCTCTTACGAATGAATGAGAGTTTTTATTTCCATCATTGCTTGTCAAACTAGAATACTCTAACAATGGAGTATTTCACTCTGGTCCTTGAAATGCTTCTTCCAGCAAGGCTGCTTCCTGTGCCCGGTGCACTTTACCAAATCCCGTGGCAACACTGGACGTTGCTCCGCGACCTGCAAACCGCAGACGACCACCCTTGTGCTGGTTAGTTGTATCGAAAATTGTCTCTAGACGAGTCTTTGCAAAAGACCACGGTCCATCGTTCAAAGACTCCTCTTGGCACCAGACAATATCAGAGGCATTGGAGTACTGAGTGAGATTATCCCGCGCTTGCTCCCAGGGGAAAGGATGTAGCTGTTCAATGCGGGTAATAGCCGTATCTGTTATCCCATGTGTATCGCGATAATTTACCAGCGCAAAATAAACCTGCCCAGAACAGTAGATGACTCTTTTGATTTGTGAGGCCGGAGCGATTGAAGTGCCATGTGCCGGGTCAGCAATGAGAGGTTGGAAACGAGAGTCTCCTGTGAAGTCCTCGATCTGAGACTTCACTGAGGGATGGCGTAGCAGAGACTTCGAGAAGAATAGGATAAGAGCTGTGAATGCATTAGCTGAGGGGACTTTCCGGGGGGTGTTTTCTTTTCAGATAAGACCTACGCTTTCTGAATTCTCTGTGCAACTGTCGTCTCAAGACATGGAAAACATTGGCTGGGGTAGTCATTTGAACCACTTGCATGTTGGCGTCCTGATGCTGTCTATCAATCTGGTCCTTTGTCGGAAAGAAACGACCATCCTCGCTGCATAACTGCAGGAAACGCTCCATTCGGGCTGAAGAATGCTCTGGTCCCTGTCCATCAAATCCATGAGGCAGAGATAAAATAAGCCCAGAGCGAAGGAGCCACTTATTCTCTGCAGATGAGATGAATTGGTCGATGATGCATTGTGCATTGTTTGCAAAATCACCGAACTGGGCCTCCCACATCACCAAGCTATTCGGGTACATGCAAGAATAACCGTAATCGAACCCCATTATGCCATATTCGCTCAGAGAAGAGTTCCCGATGGTGAATTCAGCTTGATCTGCGCTGAGATTGTTCAGTGGTAAATAGGCCCCTCCGTTTTTTTGATCGTGGAGCACGGCATGACGTTGTGAGAAAGTACCGCGCTGAACGTCTTGGCCGGAGACACGAACGTGATGCCCTTCGAGGCATAAACTCCCCACTGCCAGAGCCTCAGCCGTAGCCCAGTCAATATCTCGACCATCTGTTAGGCTCTGTTGGCGCTTTTGAAGAATCCGCCTCAAGCTTTTGTGTACTTTGAACGGCTCCTCGGGAATTCCCAGCTTGCTTGCGATCGTCCCAATAGTGCTGTGGTCAATGGCAGTCGCTTTTGCTGCGAAGCTCTCACGCATGACCTCTTCTGGTGTCTTCATATCCTTCCATGGAGCTGTAAGATATTCACGCTCAAGAGCCTCGGGACTTGAACTATTTTCTAGACTCTTTGTCATCTCCTTCCAAGCCCTTGCCTCCATCTGTTTGACTTCATCAACTGTGACCACTCCTTGCCGAACCAGTTTCTCTGTGTATGATTCGAGGTGAGGAGTCTTCTTCTCGATCTGCTCGTACATCATTGGCTGAGTGAAGAATGGTTGATCCATCTCATTATGACCATGTTTTCTGTAGCAGATCATGTCGACCCAGCAATCCTTCCCAAATTTTGCGCGATAATCCGCAGCCAGTTTGCCGACAAAAACCACAGCCTCGGCATCATCCGCATTAACGTGGAAGATGGGAGCGGAAATGCTCTTTGCTATATCGGACGCATAGGGCGAGCTTCGTGCAGATTCGGCATCCGTGGTGAATCCCACTTGGTTGTTGATAATCAAGTGCACAGTACCACCCGTTTCGTAGAATTTCAACCCAGAGAGTCCCAAGGTTTCGTAAATGACTCCCTGTCCAGCGAAAGAGGCATCCGTGTGGCTGTTCAAGACCATAGTAGACGCTCGATCCCCCTGGTTCTGGTGTTGGACAGCCCGAGCCATGCCTTGACCGAGTGTATTCTGCGCTTCCAGGTGCGAAGGGTTTGGCAAGATCAAAATATTCACATATTTTCCACTAGGAGTCTTCCGATCATGGCTAATTCCAAGGTGGTATTTGACGTCTCCCGATATATTCAGACGAGATTCTGAATCAGAGGAGAATTCACTGAAGATCAGCTCGTTTGGCTTGCGGCCTACATTGCTAAGCACATTCAACTTGCCACGGTGACAGCAAGGAAAGATGATGTTCTTAACGCCATTTTCCGCGCTAGCGTCGATAATCGCTTTTAGCGCAGGAATTTGAGTCTCGACGCCTTCGATGCTGGATCGCTTGGCATTGGGGAACTTGGCGGACATGAATTTCTCGAAGTTGGTTGTCCAAACAAGACGATCAAGGATTTGCTTCTTTTCTTCTGTAGAGTATCGGTAAGGCTCGGGAACTTCTAGGCGCTCACGGATCCATTCACGTTCGTCGACAGTATCAACATGGCTATACTCGGCACCAATCGATCCACAGTATACATCCTCGCAAGTTTTGATGATGTCTCGGAGGGTCATCGTTCGAGGGGTAGCTGAAATGAAGTGTGGTAGCAATTCTGGGCCGAGGACAAATTCATGGTCCATATCAGACTCAGTGAATCCATAGAATTCTGGTTCTAGTTCCTCGGGATACGGGAATTTCTTCTCGGGGAGATCGAGCGGATTTGTTTCAGCTTTCTTGTGGCCAAAGTCTTGATATGCGCGGACCAAGCGCACGGTCTTTGAATAATGGTCAGACGCAGTAGATAAAGCTGGTAAATCCTTGACGGCACCCCTACCAATGGCATTCAAGGAAAATGAAGACTTTCCAAGCGGCTCAAATGTAGGCTCCGAGGTTGGTAGGCCATTTTCGACGGCATTGAAATATTCTTGCCAGGACGAATGGACATTAGTTGGATCTTGACGCCAGGCAGTGTATATATGATCCAGATAATCCGACGAGCTTGCCATAGAAGCAGCAGAGTATCTCTAGATATGTCTGGTTTAGTATTTCATGGCAATTGAAGGAAAAGGCCCATGGTTGCTTACTCGTTGAGGCTGGAGACTTCGCATATATTGGCCGCATGATGCTAGGTTGAACCTCACATTTTGGGTAACTTCTCTAGCACCAAGTCTCTTCGGACATCGTAGGATCGTGAGTAAAGCCTTTGACGAAAGCATTATTCCAAGATTGCGTGTGTGACTGCTATATTGTCCGCTGTATTGAAATACCCCCCCTTATATTTTTTACCTCGAAAAAGACCGGACTCTCAGATAGTAGCTAACTCTTGAACAAAATTCAACATTAAATGCTGATTCTGAGAATTTTTATTATTCTTATTGAGCCCTGAATAGTTATCGGTGAATTTTAGAATATCCATATAACCGTGAAGTAACCGATGCGGGGAGAGTGTCGGAGCCCCCTCCCGACCTTCGGCATCGCCAAATGATGCCGATGATTGTTGGTCGTGACTTCAGCAAGCTCGCGTGGATCACAACCAGGTATTTCCTTCTATAATATCTGCAATGGCATACGCTGAGCTGAAAATGGCGATTCTCTCCATTTATTTTCCGTCTAGAGAGCTATGGTGCCATATTGAGGTTTATCTCTCACTGACTTAATAGCTAGTGTATAAAATTGGTCTCCATTAGGTCAAAGCAGAGTCAAGCCAGCTCTCTTATAGAAAGAAAATAGCGGACCGACATCGATTTTATATTGGAAATTCAGTATGAGCGAGGCCTGACTCTCAAGCGCGCTGAATTTTACTGGAATTCATCTTGACTGCATCCTGATACCCAGGGTACGAAATAATCACTGCCAGATGAACCGAAATACTTTGTATTTTGTCGTATTTTTCCAAGAAAATATGAGAACTGTTTGTCAGCATGTCTCCATAGCTTCCGCCTCACCTCCTTTCACCTCTCTCTTCTCCACATCACACATAGCAAGACATACACTGCTTCCACTACTACACGTGCTATATTCCACAAAAGGACATTGATGCATATTTCAGACCTAGGAAGTTAAATTTCGACAATGAGTACTAGTGGAGCAAGAAAGCTTAGAGAAAGAAAACGGAGAACATAAGAAGGTGTTTGAACCACGGGTGCCCTAGTCGCTTGTAAACCACCTCGATATTATTTTTAGTTCGTAAAGCTCCTTTTTAAGTTGATTCGGAGATTTGAGTGAAGCTAAGAGTGAAACATAGCTTAGTATGACGTCGGTCGAGTTGGCCGCTTCCCGCGGATCCCTCCCGAGATCGTAGTCTTCTAGAACTACCAGTCAAATTTGATCATTGGTTAGCCTAATGTGGATACACAGGGCCAATTCGTAATTTAAAATAATATTTCAGTGGGTAGACAGCTAGGTAAGGTAAGTACTTGATAGCCAAGCGATGCCCAGGCGGTACCATGGTGAGCACTGACATGAGTATATAATCGAGAGAAGAGACTGTACTGAAAATACTATATCCATGCGCCCACTCCAAATCAAATTAGAAGGCGCATACCTAGGTACTTTCATTGTGAACGGCCAACCTGAACATTGGAAGCGAGTTGTTCCAAGGAGCGATCCCATTCATATCTGATCACGAAGTGACGAACCATTGGAGCGCGAACGGTTGAATTTCTCGGAGATCAAACCATCGGATTTGCCGGCCTCAGCCATAATTCAAACTATTAAAGCCGTTCCTGACTATTCATACTCAGTAGATCCCATTTGCACCAATAGAATCGAGAGAACAGCCGTTTAATCATCCACTTTTGCGAGGTTGACGACGCCTCTAACTACGATAGGAAGTTATGTGGCTGCTTAGTCATTATTCAAGGAGCTAAAACGAGATAAATTAGGAACTTACGTCCGCAATGTGGATATTTGCTAGAAGCCTTTACAAAATTGCCAATGGGATGCTTCGGATGGATCATAGGTATTTATTGCTGTGGGTATATCCCCACCTGGTGAAAGTCTTAGCAGTCGAAATTTGGTCGGCTCTTAAATTCGAAACAGCAGAAAAGAAGAACCAATAGCCCAATATGTAGACTAGTTAAGCCATTGCTGAAACGACTGCGGACGTAACGTATAAGGGGTCACTTAAGTGACTTAACTAGCTAACTATGTCTTCGTTATCTCGAGGAGGGGATGGTTTCAAGCAGTCTCATTTCCGGCTGATGCCTGGAGATAGATAGTCCGAAGGGGCTCGCATGAAGCATTTGATTTCCGATTGCGGTTAGTTTTGAGTCTCGCTTATTGGCCTCTTTTCTTGATTCCCCCAAGAGCTAGTATCGGAGGGGGTTTAAAATTACCCCAGTGAATGGGCCCCCTGAAAAATCGACAAGTGGGAGAAATCCGTCAATTCCCTCCTCTTCATCCTTTTTGTCGAGCGAAGCATTTGGTCTTCGATGCACTGAGATAGCAGAGGCTACAGAGTCCAGGGAATCTCGCCGTGCTGGGCTCAACGCCAATCTATACCCGGCCGTTTCAGCATGAAGCCATTCTCTTATCTCGTTATCCTTGCAATTGCGGCATTTCAAAGCCTTTGCGTCATTGCCGAAGATCAAACAGAATGTAACCCGCTCAAAAACACAACATGCAGTGCCGATCCAGCTCTCGGCACCGAGCATACGTGGTTGTTCAACTCGACTCTCGATACCTCACTTTGGGACATGGAGACTGGGACACTCGACTATACCTCCGAAGGCGCCGATTTCAAGATCAGAGAAGAAAACGGCTCTACGCTCCTCGTGTCGAACTTTTACATATTCTTCGGAGTTATGGAGGCTCATGTGAAAATGGCCAAGGGAGCAGGAATTATCAGCAGTGTCATCTTGCAATCCGACGACCTGGATGAGATCGACTGGGAATGGGTTGGCTACAATACAAGTCAAGTACAGTCCGATTTCTTTGGAAAAGGAAATACTACAACCAGTGACCGTGGTGGCTATCACCCCGTTGCGAATGCGGACACGGAATTCCACAACTACACTTCCTACTGGGATAAAGACAGACTCGAATGGTGGATTGATGGCAAATTAATGCGGACGGTCAATTATTCAGAACCGTTAACCGTCTACGGCAAAAATTATCCCCAAACACCATGCAGAGTCAAGGTCAGCAATTGGCCGGTTGGAATCAAGTCACAATCCGTCGGCAACATAGAATGGGGTGGCGGTTTGGTGAATTGGACCGATGTACCTTTTACTATGACGGTGCAAAAGATCCGAGTGCAAGACTTTCATTCAGGAAAGGAGTATAAGTATACCAACCAAAACGGAACTTACAAAAGCATCGAAACTATCAAGTAAGTGATTCTAGCCTAATATTCCTCCTCTTTCCCCTCCGGTTTTCGATCATTGGCTAACGGCGATATTCTAGGGGTAACTCCACTGCACTAGCTGAAATAAACAAGAAGCCGGCGGAAACTTTGGCTCAAAAATGGGATGATCTTGGGACCGGTGCCCATATTGGTGTTTATTGTGGTGCAGCAGCTGCAGGACTTATCATATTCGCTGCCTTTGGATGGTGGTGCCGACGCCAGCGCCAAAGCGGGCGTCTTCAGCGCGGATTAGATGATGGCCAAAGAAGTGAAGAATTGGATGAGATGAATAGCATGAAAAATAAATGGCGATCAAGTCAATGGGGTCAGCCAAGCTATCAGCAGGTGCGCTAGCAGCTGAATCCTCCCATATTGGGATTGTCTCTTCCTCTTTGTTCAACTTTCTTTCTTTCTTGGGATTTCTTGGGATTTCTTCGTTGTCTTCTTTTCTCTTCCATGTACAAATATCCATGACACGCGTTTTCCCTATTCATATTATACAACAACTACCTTCGACTAGACGTTACGGCGATCATTTGCTTCACCATCATGCACACATAATATACGACGATACAGTGAATTGAAAAGCAAAAAGCAGAAGGCTAGGCTCATATTCTGAGTATTTGACAAGAAAACTCTCCATTTTATTCCAGGAGACTCAGTATTGTAGAGAGATGTCTACCTGAACCTGGTATTTTTTCCTGCGTTGATTTTCCGGTTTGTACTCTGCAGCCACACCACTTCAAGTCCCAAGCATGGACTATGGTTTCAACGCCCAAAGACGGTATTTGAGAATATTGCGATCAGATAGCGAGAGCGATCGCTTTTCGGATAGAGATAGGTTGTTTAATGCAGGACGCGTTCGCGAGGACGTTGATAAGAGGATAGCGACGAAGACTTCTCTCACTGCTTCACAGCATACGTACCACAGACAAAGAAGTAAAACAAGTATTCTGCCCCTTTGTTCGAAGTAAACACAGGATATAACATGCGCATTGCTTGCCACGGTATTAGGAGATGGTCAAACTCGTTCGTCAGACCGCCACCAGAGATCATGTCGGAATCCCAAAGAGAACACATGGAGAACAAATGAGCACCGAGGTCATTATGCTGTCAAACCCTAAGCTTCCTATTACCGTGGAAAAGAAATTATTAAATCCGCAAGCACCGAAATGCATGTTCTGCATGAAGGCTAAGAGAAACCGACGCGGATCGCGACTAGAAGTTGAAGGAATAAAAAAAAGATAACATAAATCGAACAAACTCGCTTGCACATGACCGCCGCTGATCATGACCGACAGTCTCCGAAGTCGTAAGGTTTAAGCAAAACACAAAGGGAACCCGTCCCTCTTAAGACTCCCTGCCATTGTATAGCAAGTGCTTACTCCTGGGGAAGCTGGCTGCGGCGAGTCTTCTCGGCCTCAAGGTTTTCGTAAAGGAGGTATAGAGCCTTCTCATTGGCCGAGCCACTTCCCATGATCGTGAACATACGCTCGCCGGTCTCGTCATGCGGGGCCTTCGCGATCGAAATGCGAGCGCCGGAGCTCCGGCGGATCTCGGTGATCTTGGTACCACCACGGCCGATGATACAGCCAACCATATCCGCGGGAATGCTGATGTTTTGGGTTTGGATTTCTTCGCCATCTTCGGTCACTAGTGGGTATCCACGAGTGCCTGCATCCGAGCTAGGCCGACGGTTGTAGCCACTGTTGTCGCTGAAGTCGGCACCGTTACCGGTGCGGTTGTACGGACGGCTGTTGTAACCATTGCCGCCGGTCGGGCTGGTGCTTTGGGCGGGCTGCTGGCTGAGGGATGCGCGAACAGCGGGGTTATAGAGAACAGTGCCGGAACCACGTTGCCAGTCATCGA